GAATACAGCATCTATCACTAATATGTCCTAATAAAGGACTGCCGATTGTCTGGCATATCTTTTTTCATGTTATCCTCTTCATTTAGTGGCAGTCAGCATCAAATGGGTTCTGGCATATTAAGGGATAAGGTCATCATAAAGCAGCAACAAGTATAACTGTAAAAAAGGAATGAGGTGAAACAAAGTATATATATATTTATATATAGGTTGCTGCAGAGACTGCTGGTATAGGAAAAGAGCATTACAAAAGGTAATGAGCACCCTAGGAGAGGAGAGGAGACCTACCTGGGCTGAAGCTGCATCTGCAGACATTGGGGTGTTCAGCTAGTTCTGGAAGCTTTTCCAAGCCTTTCCCTCTGCTCCATCCAGCCCTGCTGCTCTCTAATTAGAGCCAGGCTGGATGTAAGAGAACCCTGTTCCTGCAGCTTCCCCTACAAGATAATAGTTGGTGCAGAGAACAGGAGGCTCCTCTTATGGTCTACAGAGGAACACTGGAAACTCTTCTAGGAAGACAAACAGAGACAGTCATCCTGTTATATAGGATAATGGGGCACATTTATTAAAGCAGACACAATTTCCCTCCTTGAATATCATCCATCTCAGCAGGAAAAGGACCCCCCCACCTCCCTCCCTCACCCTCCATAAAGCAATGCAGAGATGGGAACTATAGGTCAAGAGGGACAATATTCCACTGGTAATACAGCCACCATCCCAGATATTATATCCTGATATGTGTATGTGGTTACTATATACTGTAAAATGTATTAGAGGATTTTATTTTTACATATCTTTATTTTTCTCAACTTTTATAACTTGGATGACACCTTCAAAATCATTTTACATTTACAGGGGACTAATAATTATATCTCCTAGACCTAGATTGTAAGCTCGAAAGAGCAGGGCCCTTGACCCCCTTGTGTTTTGTTTTGTTACTGTATTGTCTCATGTTCTGTCCCCCATTATAATGTACAGCGCTGAGCAAACCTTTCTGGCGCTATATAAAAACTGTATAATAATAATAATATCTACAGCTTAAGGTACATTAGCATGATGGTCAATGGGAAGAATGCTCCTTAATTTGTGGTCAGTGGAAAGAATCCCCCCTTATGGATAGCAAAAAGATTATTGATGTCAGTGGTCACTTACTGTATCTGAGAAGCAGAAATTGCTCAAGGAACACCTAGAAACTTCTCAAGGAACCCTGGATCAGAAAGGCTGCTTCACATCAAAGCGGAACTTTAAAAGGAACTACACTGCATCTGAGTACCACAAACCGAAAACTATTTAAAGGGGAAGTACAGCCAAAGCTCTTTTGGCTGTACTTCTGTGGATCACAGGAGTGCAGTTCGTTCTGCACTCCTGTGACCCATTTTCATCTGACAGCAGGCTAAAGTCTGCTGTTGGCTGACGTCACTCAGTTGACCATATGGTAAGGATCCATCGAGGAGCTGGGACCGGTACCTGGCTCAGCCTGCCAGTGATCCACTAAGAGTCTATGCCAGCTGCTCCCACCCCTTTCACAGCCCAGCACTCCAGTGAGTGGGAGGGCAGAGCAGATGGCAGTGAACAGTACCAGCTCTCAGCTCAGAGCGGCAGGGAGAAACTGAGCAATCAGCAGTGTCTGATTGCTCAGTTCTCAGCCTTAGAGCCAGCGAGTACAGAGTACAGATGCAGCATTGGATCAATACTGCATCCACCTAGGTAAGTATAATTTAAAAAAAAAAATTCTTCTCTTTTAATTCATTTTTAATATCCCCCGTCCATCCCTGTCTTCATGCTTTATTTTGCTGAGAAATCATTTTGAAAAACAGTCCCCTAGCATTTCTGACCGTGGCCATCTTGAATAAGAAAAGGTGATTCATGTAGTATTTACTTCCTGGAATCCATCTGCCCTTAGCTCAGGCATGCAGGCAGGAGGGTGTGCTTAGCTGAGAAAACCCTTCCTTACCTCTTTATGACTCCTGGTGTGTATGGTCAGGGGCGTCTTTACCACAAGGCAAACAAGGCATTTGCCTAGGGCGGCATCTTTCAGGGGGACAGCGGCATTTTTTAGGGGGGCAGCGCCGCCCCCCTAAAGAAGGAATGGAAGAAGAGACACACACAGCATGGGGACCAGGTTGGATCTAAGTGAGGTTGCGGGCTGCTTGATGGTGTATGCAGAGCTTGACTCTTGTTCCCGGGGATGTCCGGAGCTGTGAAGGTGAGTGTGTTCTCTCTCGCCGGGGTGGGGTTGCCAGTGTATGGGGGGTGGTGGTAGTAGAAGGCTCTCTTCTCGGATGGGGGTTCTGGGGTGTTGTTGGTCAATGTCAGGCACTCTTCGTGAGGGAGGGGGGTGTTGGTCGGTGTCAGGGTCTCTCCATGTGGAGGGGGAGCCTATTTTTGTGTTGCCTAGGGCACCACGAAACCTAAATACACCACTGTGTATGGCATCATTTGCCTAAGCCAGAAACCAGTAACTAACTGAAGAAACATGAAAAAAAAAGTTTAAAACAAGTAAATGTGATATACCTTCCTATCTATTTACTAACACTAGCAGCATGTTAATTGAGAGAGTGCACTTCCACTTTAGATTTATTTAATCTCTCCCCCCCCAAAAAAAAAACTAATCATATATTGAATTTTTTCTCTCTCCCCAAAATACCTGTTCTACAGTCCTGGTTCCACACTTTAGTTTTTCTTGCTTAGATGAGAATGACGCCGCCCTTCCCAAAGCTTCCTGGAATACTTACGCCATGCATCCTGGGAGGCTTTGGGGCAATCTGGGTTACACTGAGCATTCTCTGAGCAATCGCAAACACACTGCACATGTGCAGAGACACATCGTCAGGGAAGCAGGTGCAAGAACCCAGAAAAAAAATCTGACCTCTTGATGACGTCAGTATAATGATGGTGGCACAGGATCCATCTTGCTGTGGCAGAGCGACAAGCTATATCAGACAATACTGGATTTGTTGGGCATGTGAGAATATTTTTTGAGGATAACTAGCAGTCAAGGTAGGAGGGGAAAACCTAAAAGGGGGGGGGGAGTGAAGTTAATACATAATATCCAGGCTTAGCTATACAGTAGATATAAAACGTCTACACAACCACAGTCAGGTTTCTGTGATGTACAAATATGACATAAAGATAAATAATTTCAGAACTTTTTCCACATTTAATGTGACCTATAAACTGTACAACTCAATTGAAAAACAAACTGGAATCTTTTAGAGGGGGGGTACACATAACAAACTAAAATAATGTGGTTGCATAAGTGTACACACCCTCTTATAACTGGGGATGTAGCTGTGTTCAGAATTAAGCAATCACATTCAAAATCATGTTAAATAGAGTCAGTACACACCTGCCATCATTTAAAGTGCCTCTGATTAACCCCAAATAAAGTTCAGCTGTTCTAGTAAGTCTTTCCTGACATTTTCTTAGTCGCATCCTACAGCAAAAGCCATGGTCCGCAGAGAGCTTCCAAAGCATCAGAGGGATCTCATTGTTAAAAGGTATCAGTCAGGAGAAAGGTACAAAAACAACAGTCTCCCATATTCTTCATATGTCTGGGCTATGGGGTAGAGTGGCAAGACGGAAGCCTTTTCTTATGAAGAAAAAACATCCAAGCCCGGCTAAATTTTGCAAAAACACATCTGAAGTATCCCAAAAGCATGTGGGAAAATGTGTTATGGTCTGATGAAACCAAGGTTGAACTTTTTAGCCATAATTCCAAAAGATATGTTTGCCACAAAATCAACACTACACATCACTAAAAGAACACCATACCCACAGTGAAGCATGGTGGTGGCAGCATTATGCTTTGGGGCTGATTTTCTTCAGCTGGAACTGGGGCCTTAGTGAAGGTAGAGGGAATTATGAACAGTTTAAAATACCAGTCAATATTGGCACAAAACCTTCTGGCTTCTGCTAGAAAGCTGAACATGAAGAGGAACTTCATCTTCAGCATGACAACGACCCAAAGCATACATCCAAATCAACAAAGGAATGGCTTCACCAGAAGAAGATGAACATTTTGGAATGGCCCAGCCAGAGCCCAGACCTGAATCTGATCGATAATCTGTGGGGTGATCTGAAGAGGGCTGTGCACAGGAGATGCCCTCGCAATCTGACAGATTTGGAGTGTTTTTGCAAGGAAGAGTGGGAAAACATTGCCAAGTCAAGATGTGCCATGCTGATAGACTCATACCCCAAAAGACTGAGTGCTGGAATCAAATCAAAAGGTGCTTCAACAAAGGATTAGTTTAAGGGTGTGCACACTATTCTTACTTTCCTCCACCTTAAAGATTTCAGTTTGTTGTTCAACTGAGTTGTGCAGTTTTTAGGTTACATTAAAGGTGGAAAAAGTTCTGAAATTATTTACCTTTGCCTCATTTGTTTACATCACAGAAACCTGACATTTTAACCGGGGTGTGTAGACTTTTTATATCCACTGGACATCAATAGAGATAGAGGTTGGGGCGTACAGCAGTTGCATTTTATCCACATTGTCTAACCACTAGCCTACAGGGCACTGTCACCCCCTTCCTGCCCAGGCCAATTTCCAGCTTTCAGCACCGTTGCACTTTGAATGACAATTGCGCGGTCATGCAACAGTGAACCCATATGAAATTTTTTACCTTTTTTGTGACAGATAGAGCTTTATTTTGGTGGTATTTATTCACCTGTGGGGTTTTTTTTTCTTAAACAAACCAAAAACCACTGAAAATTTTGAAAAAAAAAGTTTTTTACTTAGTTTTTGTTATAAAATTTTGTAAATAAGTTATTTTTCTCCTTCACTGATGTGCGCTAATGAGGCTGCAGTGATGGGCACTGATGAGGAGGCACTAGTAGGTGGCACTGATGGGCATTGACAGGCATCACTGATGGGCACTGAAAGGCAGCACTCATATATGGCACTGATAGGTGGCATTGGCTGGCACTGTTAGCTGGCACTGACTGGCACTGTTAGGCAGCACTAACAGGCACTGATAGGCGGCACTGATGCACACTGATAGGTGGTGCTGACTGGCACTGATAGGCGGCACTGACTGGCACTGATAAATGGCACCGATTAGCACCACTAATAGGTGGCACTGACTGGCATTGATAGGTGGCACTGACTGGCACTGATGGGTGACACTGAAAGGCAGCTCAGATGGGCACTGATATTGTGGCATTGATGTGGCACTGATGGGCACTGATGGACACTGGCAGGTGGCATGGATGAGCGCTGAGAGCTGGCACTGATGGACACTGACAGGTGGCGCTGCTGGGGCTACACAGATCATCAGGGCACACTGATCATCAGTGCTCTGATGATTAGTGTACATGTCCCCTCCGAGGAATGCCGATTACTGGCTCTCCTCTCCTTACGAGCTGTCAGCGTGACAGCTTGAGAGGAGAGAGATGCCGATAACCGGCATTTCCCTGTTTACATGTGATCAGCTCTGATTGGACACAGCTGATCACATGACCGAGCCGACATCTTCGGCTCTTTCCATGAATCGGTGATCCGCTGTATCCAAGGGACACAGCGCACCGCCGTTCGCCACGCTGCACGCTCTGGGAGCCACGCATGAGCGGTTAAATGGGAGGATGTCATATGACGTCCTCCCAGAACGAGAGAACCACCTTGTTGCGTCCGTCATATTATTATATGGTGGGTGGGAGGTGGTTAAAAAGTAAGGGTCCCAACACTGAACCTTGGGGTACACCACTGACAACCCTAGACCATTCAGAGTATGAATCATTAACCTCTACTCTCAGTTTTAACCATACTAATCACAGTTTTATTGTTTTATTATTTCAGTTTAAAGGACCACACAATGGCAAAAAAATATGGATATGGGTTTATTCCCATGCTCTTAAATTGCACTGTGTTGTGCTGCAATGCATTTTTATGTGTGTTGCAGACTTTGATGCTATTACTATATCCCTGTCATTCGCTGTACTAATATGCAGCTTTCCCAGTTTTGTTTTTTTGCTTTTCAAGGCAGTCATTGGTTTGAGCCAAAATAATGCTATTTTTGTTGCCTTTGCATCATCCCAAGCTGCTCGTGTGAACAAGCCCTAATACAAGTGATAGAAATCATAAATATACTTTTTAATTTTGCATTTCTTGTTTGCGTATAAAGCTACTGAACAAAGGTGACATTGACAAGGGTCAGGGAAACCTATATCACTACCACTGGGATTTGTTCACATGGTTTTAGTTTTTTTTTTTTTTTTGCTGCAACTGCTCAACCACCAATGCTAGTATTATTGTTTGTTACTGCTAAAGTTCCAGTCACATTTGATAAACAGCTTGGCTCATATGTGGTGGAGAAAATATAAAATGGTATGCAAAATAATAGATTCAATTATCTACAAATGCTATCATTACAAGCATACATTGGATAGAATACAACATTTTTTTACAGATTAGTGGCCCAGCCTAGTAGCGGTCCACCTTTAAAGGGCCAGTCTAGCCAAAACCAATATATCAGTTTTTTTGGTAGATGTTGGGAAATGAAACAACTTGACCATTTCTCATAAATTGAGGGGACTTTATTGGTTAGATATTTGTGCGTTAGTTGCTGGATCTGGACACCTGCTGTGGCTCCCACTGTCGGAAATTCTAGTTTTTAATACAAGGACAAATGCATCAGTAGGTGTTGGAATCTTCAAAAGTGGTCTGGAACATCCAAAACTCCAAGGTGTACAGGTACAGAGTCATGAATTATGTAAGGGAATATACAAGCCACATGGGAAGCCAGAAGCTGACCATCAGGCTCTACCTATAAATAAAATATCACTTTTAGGGAAAATGGCACTCTAAGGAAGGTGGAATACCGTTCAGGTAACCCAGCTTTCAATGTCTTATTATTCTGCGTATATTCCAGCACTGGTGTTATATACAGAGTATTATTATTATTATTATACAGTATTTATAAAGTGTCAATAGTTCGCTCAGCGCTGTACATTACAAAGGGGGACAGAACATGTGACAGAACAATACCAATACAATGCAAAACATGAGGGGATTGAGGGCCCTGCTCTTTCGAGCTTATAATCTAGTAGAGGAGTAGGAACACAAAGAACAAAGAAGCCTTGACATGTCGTGTGGATTCTGCATATATTTGCCGAAATGCGTATGTTGCTGTAACTTGCACACTGTACACTTTATTAATTAAGTACTTTTATAAAGTGCCGGCTCTTCACCTTAGTCACTGGTCACACCGCTGCGACTTTAAAATTGTGCTATTTTGTGCAATTTCAGCTGCATTTGGAGACTTTATTGCTATTTTCAATGTTTGTTGCAATTTCCATTTTCATTATATTCTATGTAGGTGAAATTGCAACAAAACTGCAGAAAAAGTAATGCAAGAACTACTTTAGAAACAGCATTGCAGCAAATCGCACATGTTAAGACACTGACATTCACATTCATTAGATGCGATTTCAGGTGTGATTTCAATTCGTAAATCGCACTGGTGTGACCGGGCACTTACACTCTCATGCTGTAGTGCCAAGAAGACACTGTGTGCTTTGGAGCACTGTTGGTCTACCTCGGGGGGGAATCAACTTAGGCGTACACTTTCATTTAAAGTACCCAAGTCAAACCTCCTGTTTTTGTTAAAGTGTTGAGGGCGATTTCGAACCCCTTTTCTGGATTTAGCACTGGAGATTTTTTCTATTATTCCACATAAGAGCGTGCCTAACCAGGCATAACCCATTATATTCATAGAAAGGAAAAGAGGAAACTTTCCTTAAGATGATCTTATTATTCTAATTTTGCTGGGTTTCCCACAGTGTCACCACTTTTTTTCATCCTTTTTTCACAGCATTTTGTTCCTTTGTGTTATATATTTATGTACTGGTAGAAAAATCAACAGTAAAACCAGAGCCCATAAAATCTAGCACAAAGAATCGTAGATTCCATTGCTTTATAAACAGCAGACTTGCGTCATAATATGAGCAAATTACGGGAAGTAAAAAGTAGTTAATTAGAAAGAAAAACAGAAGAAAGGACACAGTAGATGATGTGGCTATTTCTCACTTTGTTATTGTTTTCTACTCTATGATGTCTATTATAGAGTACAGCAAGTCTACTACTGTGTAATGTGTCTATTATAAAGGATACCATGCCTGTTAGGGCTTATGTGGACGAGGGCATTTTATTTCCACATTTAAACAAGAAGCTAAAGCCTGCTGTTGGCTGATGTCACAGAGATGGTCCAGGCTCTGGAATGATCCTGACAATAATGTCAGGATCCAGCGAGATTCCTGACCAGCAGCTGGCTCAGCTTCTCACCATGCGGTTGAATACTGGAGCCAGGAGTCCCCTCCCCCTTTCACAGCCTGGCGCTCAAATGAGTGTTGGAGGGGCACACCAGAGAGCATTGACTGACAATCATCCCCATTTTTCAGAGCAGACTGAAAATTGATCAATCAGCGATCATGTGATCTCTCAGTTTTCAGGCTTAGAGATGGTGGAGGACAGCTGTAGCATCAAACCGATGTTGCAGCGGGGAGGTGAGTATCTGTGTTTGTTTTTTTAAGTCCTGCATTTCACACAATCCTACATGTGCATTTTAAAGGCATGTCAAACACATCAATAAATTCTCATGGACTTCAATAGAGTAGTGTAGATGACAATTCAGAGCCTACAGTTCAGTTTTGGCACCGACTCACAAAAAGAACATTGGGGAACTGGAGAAAATACAGAGAAGGGCAACCAAACTGATAAGAGGCATGGAGGAGATCAGCTATGAGGAAAGATTAGAGGAACTGAATTTATTCTCTCTTGAGAAGAGGAGATTAAGGGGGGATATGATCTCCATGTATAATACATAAGGGGGATATGATCACCATGTATAATACATAAGGGGGGATATGATCTCCATGTATAATACATAAGGGGGGGATATGATAACCATGTATAATACATAAGGGGAGATATGATCTCCATGTATAATACATACGGGGGGATATGATCTCCATGTATAATACATAAGGGGGGATATGATCTCCATGTATAATACATAAGGGGGGGCTATGATAACCATGTATAATACATAAGGGGGGGATATGATCTCCATGTATAATACATAAGGGGGGGCTATGATAACCATGTATAATACATAAGGGGGACATGATCTCCATGTATAATACATAAGGGGGGATATGATCTCCATGTATAATACATAAGGGGGGATATGATCTCCATGTATAATACATAAGGGGGGATATGATCTCCATGTATAATACATAAGGGGGGGATATGATCTCCATGTATAATACATAAGGGGGGGATATGATAACCATGTATAATACATAAGGGGGATATGATCTCCATGTATAATACATAAGGGGGGATATGATCTCCATGTATAATACATAAGGGGGGATATGATCTCCATGTATAATACATAAGGGGGGGGCTATGATAACCATGTATAATACATAAGGGGGACATGATCTCCATGTATAATACATAAGGGGGGATATGATCTCCATGTATAATACATAAGGGGGGATATGATCTCCATGTATAATACATAAGGGGGGATATGATCTCCATGTATAAATACATAAGGGGGGGCTATGATAACCATGTATAATACATAAGGGGGACATGATCTCCATGTATAATACATAAGGGGGATATGATCTCCATGTATAATACATAAGGGGGGGATATGATCTCCATGTATAATACATAAGGGGGGGGATATGATCTCCATGTATAATACATAAGGGGAGATATGATCTCCATGTATAATACATAAGGGGGGATATGATCAACATGTATAATACATAAGGGGGGATATGATCTCCATGTATAATACGTAAGGGGGATATGATCACCATGTATAATACATAAGGGGGGATATGATCTCCATGTATAATACATAAGGGGGGATATATGATCTCCATGTATAATACATAAGGGGGGATATGATCTCCATGTATAATACATAAGGGGGGATATGATCTCCATGTATAATACATAAGGGGGGATATGATCTCCATGTATAATACATAAGGGGGGATATGATCTCCAACCCTCCCCCCCCCCCCACCCCCCCCACCTTGTATAATACATAAGGGGGGATATGATCAACATGTATAATACATAAGGGGGGATATGATCTCCATGTATAATACATAAGGGGGATATGATCACCATGTATAATACATAAGGGGGGATATGATCTCCATGTATAATACATAAGGGGGATATGATCTCCATGTATAATACAATATCTCCATGTATAATACATAAGGGGGATATGATCTCCATGTATAATACATAAGGGGGGGATATGATCTCCATGTATAATACATAAGGGGGATATGATCTCCATGTATAATACATAAGGGGGGATATGATCAACCATGTATAATACATAAGGGGGGATATGATCAACATGTATAATACATAAGGGGGGATATGATCAACATGTATAATACATAAGGGGGGATATGATCCCATGTATAATACATAAGGGGGGATATGATCTCCATGTATAATACATAAGGGGGGATAT